TTCTCAATTTTTCTTCTAATAATAATAATAATAATAATAATAATAATAATAATAATAATAATAATAATAATAATAATAATAATAATAATAATAATAATAATAATAATAATAATAATAATAATAATAATAATAATAATAATAATAATAATAATAATAATAATAGTTTTTTTTTTCTACTGACAGCGCTCTAGTGTGGCAGCGGACCTATCCGCTTCAAACGGTGGAACCACTGGCCTCTGAAGACGACGATTAAGTCGAAACGTTAGGCCATTTTAAATAAATGTTCCACCTAACAACCTCGTAAGGCACAAGAATATTGAAACACTTACTAACATGCCGAGGTTGCAAGAAGAGAGAAGCTGGAGAATAATAATAATAATAATAATAATAATAATAATAATAATAATAATAATAATAATAATAATAATAATAATAATAATAATAATCACCTGTCACCTGTATCACCTGTGCTCCCGTTGATCATCGAGTTCCTCGAGCGGGCGCCAGTAACGTCTCCATTCGTCCCTGCAACGTGCAAGAGTTGCCCAATGAACTCTCTCAGCTCGAGGGACACGATGAACTTCATACCATTCGTTCAGAGCTTTCACGAAGAAGTCTGACCATCGCATAGGCGGTCGTCCAGGCGTTCGCTTGACATCCCGTGGAATCCAGTCGGTGACTGCTCTGGTCCAGCGGTCGTCCTCGAAACGCATGACGTGTCCGGCCCACCTGATCTTCGAAGCCTTGGCAAATGCGGCGGTCTCTGATCTTCGATCGTTGGCGGAGTGCGGAGCTCCGGATTCCCTCTCTCACTTGCGTGTAGCGGGAAACTCCGAGCATCGCCCTTTCGATGGCGCGTTGAATAACGCCGACCGCATGCTCATCCTGCTTTCGTAGAGTCCAAGTCTCTGAGGCGTACGTCAAGGCAGGAAGGACCGCGGAATCGAAAGAGTTGGGCACGGAGCTTGGTGTTCTTCGTCTTCTTCGCTACTCCCTCGATGTCTTGAAGGCTCCCCAAGCCCTCGCTTCCCCTGCCCTCACCTCTGGACGAGGCATTCATCATATTGATTTCACGACCTAGGTACACATAGCTAGAGCATTCAGAGATGGTCGTTCCGTTGAGCGTGAATGGGGCATCAGAAACCAATCCGTTTCTCATGAACATCGTCTTCGTTAGGTTCAGCCGTAGACCGATTCTTCCACACGCGCAGTCGAATTCAGCCAGCATTCGTTCCGCTTGCTCGATGTTTGGCGTTATCAAAACGATGTCGTCAGCAAAGCGGAGATGGTGTAGTTGCCGACCGTCGATCTTCACTCCCATGTCTTCCCATTCCAGTTGACGCATGACGTTCTCGAGAGAGGCGCTGAAGAGCTTGGGCGAGATGGTGTCGCCCTGTCGGACCCCTCTCTTCACATCAATGATGATCTCCTTGTAGAATGGTGAAATCTTGGTCGTGAAGTTTGCTGTAGAGCTCTCGAAGAATTCCTGAATGTAACTTGATAGAATACCTGTTCCCATGGCTTCGTACCGCCTTCTGTCTCAAACGGAGTCGAAGGCTCTTCAAATCGATGAACGTGAGACATAGCGGCATCTTGTACTCTCGCGATACTTCGATGAGCTTCGTTACCGTGTGGATGTGATCGATCGTGCTGAATCCTCTTCGAAACCCTGCTTGCTCGCATGGCTGTCCTTCGTCTAGTGTTCTGCCAATCCTATTCAGGATGACTCGTGTGAAGAGTTTGTAGACTACAGACAGCAGGCAGATTGGGCGATAATTGCCAATGTCGTACAGGTCTCCCTTCTTGTACAGCAACACAGTCTTGCTGGTTTTCCACGAGGTGGGTACCTTGCATTCCGACAGGTAGCGCGTGAAGAGTCGAGCCAGAGTTTTGACGAGAACTGGCGGAAGATTCTTCAGATGTTCGGGTCTGATCCTGTCGGGACCGGGTGCCGTACGATTCTTCACCGACGAGATGGCGTGTCGGACTTCGGAAGGGAGAACTGCAGGAACGACATATCCATACCTGCCTCCCAAAGCGTATGCTCTGGCCCAGCCTGACGTGGCTGCTCGAATGAGATCGCAGTAGAAGTCTGTGGTACCTTCTCCATTGCCCTCTGGATGCGTGATTTTCCATCCGACGCCGGAGGAGCGGTTCATCTGAGCTTACAGTGGCGAAGTCGCGGCGGGCGTTGCGTATGCTCTTCCCAGCCTCTGCGGCTTCCACCAATACTGCTGCTCTTCTCTCCTTGAGGTCTTCTTTTATCGCTCCTCTGCATAGCTTCGCAAGCTCAGACGTCAGCTGGTAATTGCCTGCGGCTCGTGCGGCTCCACGTTGGCGAATCAGCTCGAGAGTTTCCAGAGATAGACGCTTCTTGGTAATCTTGGAACCCTCTGACTTCTTGGCGCAGTCGTGAAGATGTGCAACAAGCCGTTCGTATTCCTCGTCGATGTTGTCGATGACAGAATCCTCCCAGAGCCCAGCGAGAGAAGTGAAGTGATCCCAGTTGATGAAGGTCTTTGGGCTTCGCTTCAATAATAATAATAATAATAATAATAATAATAATGATTAAAAGTTGAGACACAACGCAAAGGCAATGGCCACGATTGCTAGGGTGTGCTGTTGTCGCCAACGTCATTGGTGGAAGAGAATTGGCCACACCCCCACGAAGCGCTGGGCAGCTTGGCCGAGCTCCTTCAGTCCTTCCACCTATGACGCCGGCAACAACAGCCCGCCTCCAGCCATCGTGCCCTTTGCTTGTAAGCAGCAACAGCTTGGCATAATTGCAAAACTAAAGTGAGGCACATTGAACATCATACAAAGATCAATATGGTCTTTCTAGAAATAGTTAACCGACCTGAAATGACGTCACAAGTTTCTCATAGCTGGCCAAGAATATCTCGACTTCTGTGACTGTAGCCGTATATAGAGTAGAACAACTAAGAATAGCGAATAGAGACGTCACAGTAGCTATTCGTGAAGCGAAATTCGTGGCAGGATCATCGTCCTTCACGGACATTACTAAAATACTCACAAAATCACAATTACTCGTATAGATACGAGAAATTTCGAGCCTCTGGAGGCACTAGACTTTTACAGATACAATTCGCAAAACATTAATCGAAAAGATGTTAGCAATATGTACGTACCGATCGGAGAATCGCCAATCGCACGTTTCGCCGAACTGCCGCGGTTCGCCGGCTCAGCGAGGGTGTCGATTTCGCGAAAGGCAATCGGGCTAGCGTTTTTCGCCCAACCGCTCCGCCGAACCGCCCGTCGATACGTATCAAAACTGTTTCGCCCAACCGCCAGACTCTTCGCCCAACCGCCAATCGATACGTATCGAAAGCTTTTCGCCGAACCGCTTCTTTCTAGAGAAACGCTGGGTCGCAGACTGTGAACAGTGCCATACGCTCTAACAGTGTTATAGCAATAGGGTCAGAGTGTGAATTGGACCTTGGGAATCACGCATCAATGGAGGATCGCCGTTTTGAGGTTTCGTTTGGGAGAAGAGAGATAAGTACATCTCTCTGAAGCGGCTCTTCATTAACCGCCGGAGAATATACGTACCAATGAGAAAGGCAAAAGGCTTGCCTGAGTCTGCCTTTTCGAATGCTGCGGATGCGTCTTCAAACATGACCTTTTCACAGATGAAACGAATGAAAACGCAAATGAGAAATGTAGGCAATCCAGAAGAAGGCTGAGCAGGATCTTTCAGCGATTTGCATGGTACAGGTCTAACTCAGCCCTCCATGAGGAATAAAGTTAAACAAGCGTCATTGGTTATTAAAAAAACATCAAGGTGAACGTTGAACTATGATAGAATTCATCTCACCAGGGAAGTCCGCCAACTTACCATGGAACTTTGAATGGAGACCTGGGTAGATCGATAGAGTCTATAAGGTTATTTACAAATATAGATAGAAACTGCAACCTGCATTTCACAAGCAACTTATGAGCAGGTAAAGTTTGTAATGGTGCAGTAGGGTGGAGGCTTGGTGGTGAGCTGTGAAGCATAAGCGAGGAATCGCATACGTCGAATCGAGTCGTCGAACGTCGAACCTTACCACTGAACCACCACGACTCGACGTATGCGATTCCTCGCTTATGCTTCACAGCTCACCACCAAGCCTCCACCCTACTGCACCATTACAAACTTTACCTGCTCATAAGTTGCTTGTGAAATGCAGGTTGCATTTGCTATCTATATTTGTAAATAACCTTATAGACTCTATCGATCTACCCAGGTCTCCATTCAAAGTTCCATGGTAAGTTGGCGGACTTCCCTGGTCAGGAGAAACACTGCAAAGAATGGCAGAGCTGGCCGCGACAGGAAACGCTATCAATGCGAGGAATGCTCAGCAAGCTTAAAGGCATATGACACGATAATTTGGTACTCGGTCTAGAATGCTAGCAGGGTGCTATATAGCGGGAAAACGACGAAAAAAAACGAGTTGAAACGGTCGAAAATCTGAGGAGAAAAGCCTTCATGACCCAGAAAGCAATTCTGGACGAGTTTTCCGTAGGCATCGTTCTAATACCTGTTGAATTAGATACGGCTGCACGTATGTACTCATATATCCATGCAGCACCGCGGCTTCATGTCAATCCCTTCGCTTCATATTTTACTTCGCAAATGAAGCAATACGAGCATCAGGTACGGTCGTCCATTTGTGGGCGGGCGCGGTGGGCGTCCGGGTCGGTATGTTGCAGCTTGATAGGGCCTTACAAGAATACCTTCTTCGAAAAAGGCGCTACGCAGCGCCTGCTCAGGGGCGCGGAATTCCGTGTGCTAGGCTTATTAGTCCTACTCCTCTTAGGGATTTATCGTGCCAACTGCCTTTGATAGAACCTTCTTTCTCTTATGGGTTATTTATAACAGGTATCTCTAGGAGATCAGTGGCTTACACAAGTCACACATCTCCTAGAGATACCTGTTGTTACTCTATAGGAGAGCCAGCATCCTAAATCTCTATGATTGTGAACAGAAATTCGTCGTCGTGGCGCCGGAGCCTTATTTCGTCTAACTTACGTTCACCTCTACCCATCATCCATTCTTGCGTTGCTGTTAAACAGAACTTCTATACTTTCTAGCCCATCCAAGAACGGAACTATTGGAAGGGTAGATCAGGAGACGACCAAGGAGACGATAGGTGGGTTGCATATGATGTGCTTTTTGATAACTGTTGTCGCTACTAACAAAGTAGATTTCTCCGAGCGTGCTATGATAAAAACTGTAAAACTATGAAGTAATAATTGCGATGAATAATATTCCCAACATTACAATGGAAAGAGCTTGAGCAACATTTCCCCTTTGCTATTCGAATTCCGGGACAGATTTTGATCGACATTTTTCCTAGGGGCAGATTTGGCTGAAACTGTGCCCCATGAAGGAATTTAGACACCCCTCGATGAGAAAATGTCTAGCGCCCTGCCACAGGCGCTGAAATCATACATCACTTTTGGCGTCGGTGGCCGTAGCTCACGTTCCAGACGTTTCAGGTGAGAACGATATTGTTTTTCGGGGCACAAAATTACTCCTTGGAATCATTGCTCAGCATATTTTATGTTTAAAAAAGGTTTGGAAAGGCGCCTCTGAAGCGGACGCATGCGATTTCGCGTGTGACATTAATGTTTTTCCAGCAGGTCAAGTTCCCCTCGCAGCAAAATTATAGTCCACTGTACCAGTGGGAAACTTTATCAAAACTGGCCTGATTCTGGAAGAGAGTGGTAGTGAAAAAAGCAAATCTTCTCTTCGCACAGGTCAAGGTTCTACTTTGCCACAAAATGAATCCTCGTAATTGTGTCGAGGTGATAAACAGGACACTCATCATTTCTATTGGTGCAAATACTAACAAAAGCAACATGAATGCTATTGTAGTTTTAGTAAGGAAGATTATGACTTAAAATAACTATCAAGGCCAGATTAAGCGAATCTGAGAAAGTTCAGCCCACAAGAGACAAAACACTTTTGAACAAAGCGAAAGTTAGCGAAAAAAGGGATGAAATTTGGTGAGTACTGGCTGCGTACTTCATTTCTACAGCCTAAGGTGGGTATTCTAAGGATATTTCATCATGAGACATTTGCCACCTTGTTTTGTGGCCATTGAAGAAGGCGATTACGTCGGAACTTCAGAAGTGTAAATGAACTGTCCTACCTAAAAACCTCTGAAAGCATAATATTACATGCCGCGTAAACAAAAAAGTTGTCCTTTGTTAACTACGGAAATAAATTCTTAGTTAACACGTTCCGGACAAACGCGTATTACTGGCATTCACGTGTGCCCGCGGCCTTTACCATGCGAGTGGCATGACACACATGGTGTGTCATGCGGCCACGGGACAGGTTTCAGTCGCGATTTTTTCTCACTGATTATTTCACTCTGAAAACTTGTACGTGGGAGTTATTTCACATCCCAATCACGAATATGACAATCATTTTTGGCGGAAGCGGGAGCCAGTTTAGCGAAATTGATGTAACTTTGCATTCGGGGGTACTCAGGGATCGCGATCTCGAATATGACATTCATTTTTCATCTGAGCCCTGACAACCGGTTCCGATCGATGGCCAGCTATCAAGAGGGCATTTTTCGGAACGCCGATTCCGCTGATTCTCCGCTGCAAAGTATGAACACATCCTCATCCAATTTCAAAACGAAACACGAATATTATGTATGCAATTATCCTGGTTCGTAACCTCACATCGTTTTTGTTGAAAACTGTCACAGCGCTGAAATGGCGATGTGGCACGTTTTTTTGAATGGAATTTTGCGAAAAACTGGACGACGGCGCCAAACTGGCGCCAAATGGAGCGGACGCTATAAGAGTGTGTCATAATCACGATCGGGACACCGAATGGCCCCAGTAGATCAGTCTATCAGCAAATTCTTTCTAGTGCGATGTATTTCTAGAGCATGATGGTTTTATGGAATAGCTACTTTAGAAAAATGTTTTACAAATGAACTACCAAGAGATTTTCATGGCCCAACCATATGCAGGAATTCGTACCGCTATAGGGATATATAACAACTCAAAGAATTTGCGCAACAGTCAAAACATAGGGAAATTTTAGCTTCTGAAGATCGTGACACACCATGTGTGTCACGCGGTCCGGAATGTGTTAAATCGAGATCTTGGCGAACATCGAATCATGGTGCTGATCAAAGTAGGTATTCCTATGGAGCTTGTGTCAAACGAGAAGACAATTGTGGCGCAGATTGGGTTGGAGGTCGTACAGTCGTCATCCGGGCACTTGATTAGGCGGCCAAGGGTCGCGACGCGGCTGCAGCGCGTCACGACCGCGGCGATCAGCTGTTTCCGGCCTAATTTGGCCATTTTCTCCCTAATTTTCAGTGTATTTTTATTTTTTCAAAAAAAGTTGTTTTGTTGCCTTTATACGTCATAAAGTTGGTTGTGGACTCTTTTTTGTCATTTTTGCAATAGAGGTTTTTGCGATTTTTTTCAGGTATTTCTTCAATTGGCTGCTTAACTGTTGAATTGAGCGCAAAAATCAGAAAGAATATCAAACTCAATTTACTTTTGAAGAAAGAAATACAGTCCTCATCATTGCGGACCGGTGGGGCGTGTCAGTGCGGCTGCGTTTGGCGCGGTGCCAAAGTCGTTCTGCACCAGTTGTTGAAGCGGGCAAGTGACATTACTGTATATCCTTCGTATTACTCGTTTTCTACCACTTTTTGTCGCATACGCGTTTCACAAAAAGGCTGAGAACGGCTTCAACAGTGTGCACACTCATACTGGCTGACACGCCCCACCGGTCCGCAATGATGAGGACTGTAACTAATCTTGAGAAAAGCAGCCAAAACAGTGTAAATTAGGGAGAAAATGGCTAAAATAGGCTGGAAACAGCTGATCGCTGCGCTCGTGACACGCCGCAGCCGCGTCGCGACCCTTGGCCGCACAATCGAGTGCCCGAATGACAACTGTACCTGACCAATTGGGGAGTGGGGGTAGGATGTAAATGTGGAGAACCTGGCTCTATTTTGGATCAGCATAAAGAAA